GGTGCGGGCGGTCGTTATGCTAACCAGAACCCGAAGCAGACATTCAGTCCCAGAACTTTAGGCCCTGTTTCTACAGCTCAGCGGTTTGTTCTGATGCAGCTGGATTCCTGGTTCTGACCCATGTTGGTACCATCCTTGATCTCAGTAGAACCTGGACAGGTTCTGATCCAGAAAACGGTTCTTTAATGCTGGTTGATGTTAAAGCAGTGGTGCCGTGACCCCACCTAGTTGGGCCTCAGAAGGTCTTGTTCCTGCTCTCATGTTCTGGTTCTGGTTCTGGCCTGACTGCTGGTTCTGTGTCTCAGGGTTGGACCTTCTCCGGGTTCCTGTGGGACAGCTCGTCTGGGTTCGACCTGAAGGACGCCGTGGTTCTGGATGGCCCGGTTACCAACGGCAACGGAAACCAGCCTCAGCTGTACCGGGCCTGCTTCTCAGTGAGTTGATCCAGTTTCAGGTTTTACTCAGAACCGTTTGTCTGCTGAAGGTCAGCTGGTTCTGTAGAACTGGGTCTGAATGAAACGGTTCTACAGAACCAAGAGCCCGGACTAGTTTTCTCTGGTCTGAACCGGGTCGCTCCTTTCAGCTGGGTTCCATGGAGCTGGTGCTGGTGAACGTCCACATGCCGAGCGCATCAAGCGGCGAGTCCAAAGAACCGGGTCAGCACCTCAGTTCCAGCATCCAGGAAACTCTCAAAGGTCAGCTGGTCGAGCCGCACCTCCCAGAACCGGGTCGGCGCCGCTCTGACCGCTGACGGTTCGGTTCTGCGTCTCTCCCTGTGCAGGTGAGAAGGAGCTGGTGGTTCTGGGCGACTTCGGCGGTCCTCCTCAGAGCTCCGAGCTGGATGTCCTGAGGAGGGAGAAGCTGCTGGCGCTGGTTCCGTCGGGTCGGTTCACCAACATCAGCACCCGCTGCCCGCAGGGCTCCCAGTGTCTGGACAACATCTGGATCAGCCGCTCCCTGAAGAAGATCTACTCAGGTCAGAACCAGAACCCTGTCACGTCTCCTCCTTGTTCTCATGAATGCAGGGATCAGTTTTCCTCTCATTCAGTGTTTTACTGCCACCTGGTGGTGGCCTAACTGAACTACAGAGGCTATGTGGGGTCATACATGTCAGAAAGTCAATATGAGTTCTGATGAGTTCTGAGGTCCAGAACCAAACATGGTTCTAGAAATATTTCCTAAAGAGGGACGGTGGATGAATTATGTCAGATATCCAGGAAGTTTTAAGACCTTCAGAGGTTCTGCAGAACCAGAACCAGAACCAGAACAGAGCAAGTCGTTCACGTCTAACGTCCTCCCATCCCGTCCTCTCACAGGTCACTGCATGGTGGTGCGGGAGGGCCTGACCAATCCCTGGATCCCTGATAACTGGTCGTGGGGGGGCGTGGCCTCGGACCACTGCCCTGTGGTGGCCGAGTTCTACGCCGACCCGTCCTCCAAGGAGCTGAGCCGTCCGACCGTGGCGGTGGTGGACAGAGGGGATGGGACGCCCAAACATGAGCGGTGACGGCGGAGAGATGATGTCCTGGTGCAGCAGAGCTTCCTGATCAATGTGAAGAAGTCCTGATCTGTCCTCCAACCTCTTTAAGCCATAAAAATGTTCAGCTGTAAAAAACCAAGAACTTGAAGAGAAGATGTGCCAAACGTTTTCTATGTGTAAATAAAATAAAGAGAGATAATTCTTAGATCTTATGGAGGACCTGCTGTCTCTGTGTCTTCCTGTCCGACTGAATGCGGCTCTGCAATCGTCCTCCTCGCCACCATCAGGAGCTCAGCTGCTGTTATGGGATCAGGGATGTTATTCAGCAGGAGACCAGGCTCTCCAGGTGAACCTGCTACACCTGCTCAGCCTCTCTGATGCTCTGCTTCCATCTTAGCTTAGCAGCAGCTTTTATTTTGAAAACTCCATTTCAGCTCCTTCAGGGTGTTTTCTGCTGCTGGAGTTTTATGGCACATTGATCCTGGAAGGATCCACACGTCTGTGGCTGAGCTAGCATTAGCACTAGCATTAGCAGCAGTTAGCTTTCAGAAACCTTGACCCATGGGAACCAGAGTTGTGTGTTAAATGATCCAGACTGAATGCTGCCTCTTTCAGAATAATCCAATCCATCCCACCCAGGACTCCGGAGGTTATTCTGGCAGAGGGAGCCCTCTAGTGGACAACAGCAGGCACAGTAAAGGAGGTTTTAATCTGGATCCTCTGTTCTTGATGTTTATTTAATCCATTCAAAGAAACTGACTGTTACTGTCAGCCATGTTGAAATAAATTCAGTGCATTTCACTGATGTCTACTTGTCTACTTGTAAAAAATAAAGAGGTGGGATGGTGGAATTGTTTTTGGAAGTATACATAGCCTAATTAATATATTCTATTAACCTATGCTATGCATGGTCTGGTTGCTCCATGTCAGGTATGTCGGGTCAAGGCACCTTCCAGTAGAACTGCAGTCAGTCCCTGGACTGGCATGGCTATCACTGCCCCTACATAGTTAGCATTGCTAGCACCTCCCCTACATAGTTAACATGGCTATCACTATCCCTACATAGTTAGCATGACTAGCACATAGTTAGCATTGCTAGCACCTCCCCTACATAGTTAACATG